ACTGACCTCTGTCATCATTTTAAGTGGGGGAACTTGCACAATCGGTGGCTGACTAAATACTTTTTTGCCCCACTGTATATATATATATATATATATATATATATTCTTGTTTTTTGTCCAGTAAAATTAAACTGGGTTTAACCAAATTTTCTTGAACTAGTCCATTAGTTGCACACAAGTTTTCAAAAAGTCTGTATGCGCGGGATTTATCGATTTTCACTTTATTTATTTATTTGTATTCCACTATTCTCATTTAACTTTAAGACCAAGAAACCTTGTCCTATTATTAGTCTGTGGATAGAAATGCTGCAATAAGCCCGATTTTAAAATGACTCTTATTCTGAAACGCTTCACCGGATAAGCTATGTCACGTCGAACGAATTGATTGGCTGTCTCATGCACCGGAAGCCAAACAAGGATTCGGCGTTTTGATGATCTTACGTGTCATTTCCAGAGTGTCAGTGATTCAGACCGGCTGTAGACTATTAACGAAAAAACCCAGGTGAGTTTTCTTCGTTTTCATTTACTCTCACGCTGTTCGCAGACTTTAAAACCTGAGCACTAACCAGCTCCTTGTCGATTTGCGTTCATTGTAGATAAATAAAGTCAGTTCCGTCAGCTATTTAGAGGCACTGTAAGTTCACTACAAACCAAAACATGATCATTGTCACATTTTATCTCACTGTTTCCCTTAAAAGTTAATTCATTTACGATAAGTGCTGATGTAATCTGTATAAAACGCAATATCCTTAACAGGTTGTTTTAGTAGTACCCGTTAGTTCTACCTGTTTTAATCTGTGTTTATTCCCATGTGTATCCTCGTTTTATCGCCTCTTTGTGTTGGTTGGTTCTTTGGTTTGTTTTTCGACACTTTTCAGGGACGTAAATATCACCCTATCACGTGTTCCAGACCGCCTGATAGAATGAATGAATGAAATCTGTTGATCTGAGGCGACACCATGACCTCTTCTTGTTCTTCCTCTTCTTTTTCTTCCCGACGCCACAGTGTTTGCCACAGCGATCTGCTGTCACACCAGCCATCAACATGTCATCACTACAGCTTTAAATGTTCTTTGTGCTCTTTTCCATCTGCCTGAAAGCTCGATATTTAACATCCTTTGTCCAGTTTATCTACTATCCCGCCTCTTGTATTTCTAACTTTGTCTCCAAACCACTTCTGCCTGAGCTCTCCCTCTGATACTCCCTCCCAATGGAAGTCTGAGCAGCTTGATCTTTATCACCTCCATGTCATTGGCTAATAATTAAGTTGAATTTAATGCAGCCAAAAAGGTAGCAAATGCCTGAATTACTGCATCCAAAAGAGTAAATACAGTAAAAACACTAACAAAATCACCATCACTGTGATTTTTATTGTATTATTTACTCAAGTGTACAACTTTGTAAAAAGCCATTTACTTTTATTCAAGGCCAGTAGATATCAGGAAAATGCACAGACGTCTGTAACACAGATTCTTTGCTTTAACTGTAAGTGGACCAGACATGTTTACATATATATACATTTTACCATGTTTACATATATAGTTACTCTAAGAAGGTCCATTTTGAATCAGGAAGACCCTGACCTAAGTTAAACACGTTAAAATAACAGTGCAGAAGTTTAGTAAGTAAGAATATAAATAAAACAAAGTGGAATTTAATAATCCATTTTCTTCTTTTCATACTATTCACCTTTCCACCCTGAATAGAATTGTGTAGTAAAATGGCTCAATAAAAATGCGACAAACCAAAGTAAACAACACAGTGGATCAGGAAATAGTCTCTGATTTGCTTATTTGTGTTTCTGTCCCAGATCACAACGTCTCCACTCTCATGTGTACATAAATGTTATATTTTTATACTTTAGGAGGGCAAAGAAGTTCACATTTAGAGGTCAGAGAGGGAGAGAATAATTTTCTTCAAAGTAAAAAAGTGACTGTATTTGAAAGTCACTTTTAATTTTAAATCCAAAACAGAAACGAGCATGACTGATTTTTTTCTGTCCTTCCTTTAGAAAATGTCTGATTTTAATGATGAATGTGAATCTGGTCTTTTCAGGGCATCAGCATCTGGTTATTGATGAACTTGGGTAACTGTTGGTAACGGCAGAATCATGAAGGCTTTGATCCTAGTGGGGGGGTACGGGACCCGACTGCGACCGCTCACCCTGAGCGTCCCAAAACCCCTCGTGGAGTTCTGCAACAAACCCATCCTGCTGCACCAGGTGGAGGCACTGGTGAAAGTAAGGCAAAGATATCAATGAGGATTTAATGATGCTACTGAGAGGTTATTTTGTGTTGTAGTCATGAGTCACTGTCTCTGTGTGTTTTCAGGCTGGGGTGGACCATGTGGTTCTGGCAGTGAGCTACATGTCAGAGCTGCTGGAAAGAGAGATGAGAGTGCAGGAGCAGAGAGTACGTACGACAACCTGCACTGTTACAGCAAAAACCACCAGGTTTCTCCTGCATGGAGGCTATATGATGGATTTATTAATCAGGATATCATTTACTGAGGTGTAAATGTGCACAACCGTCACTGTTGAGTATGTTTGGTTCCCTTTTCAAGAAACTTTCGGCATCTCTGCTTCTTATTTTTCTTGTTCTAGTGTATCCAGGATATTCAGAAAGTCAGTAACAGGTTTTAGGTTCAAGATTTCCAATCAATTGGTCTGAATTTAGAAGCTAAGTCATCCTCAAAGGATAGCTAATTATTCTGAGATTGTGTTTGATGCAGTTCCAGCCTGCAGTTTTAATTTTTCTATGGACTGTTTACCTGTGTGGAGAAATTTGATCATATGTGATTGGTCAGTATAATATTGGGACTATAAGTGGAATAAAACAGAAAAAAATATATCTTTAGATAGATTTATAGTGATTAGTTGCGTGTCTCATCTGTGGTTTGTAGTTTGAAGGAAACATCTTTGTGACAGAGGTGTGGTCCCTGGCTCAGCTGCAGGGGAGGAGTGGTGGTGCAGTGAGCTCAAGGGGGCGGTACTGGGAGGCAGGTGAGCCACTGACTGGCGATTGACTGATGACGGTGTCTCTTTCCATTTCTCTATATAGTGAAGGCAGAGTCGAGCAGGGAGAGAGAGAGTTGGACTGGAACAGACTGTTTCCCTTGAATGCAGAATTGTCAATAAAACACAACACTCGTGAGCACAGTCACCGTGTGTGTCGTGTACTTTACAATCTTTAATCAGCGTGACTTCCGTGTTGTGCTTGAACAGGACCTCAAAGACTCGGTTGTTGGACTTGTTGGATTTCTGTATCTCTGGTCACATGTTAGGAAATAGATTGAGGAGACATTCATTTGGATTCATGTGTGATGTGGTGTGATTCCTAACTGAGCCCAAACATTAAAGTTGAACCTGTCTGTTTTTTGTTTTCTTCTCAGCTCGGGATTCGTATCTCTCTGTCTCATGAGAAGGAGCCTCTGGGAACAGGTGAGCTTGTCTTTACTACAGACAGATCCAGATAAGCGTAAATGGCTCTCTGCAAGTATCCAGTAATTCAACATCGATTAACTCGTCTTTTAAAAACCATAGTAAATTATTGTGAACCATATAAAACTGTATGTTTGTGCACAGCGGGTCCCCTGGCGTTGGCTCGAGACTTGCTGAATAATGACAGTGAGCCGTTCTTCGTTCTCAACTCAGACGTCATCTGTGATTTCCCGTTCAAAGATCTGCTGCAGTTCCACCACAACCACGGCAAGGAGGGAACCATTGTGGTGAGAGAGACTGTCCTAGTATTTCCTATGCTTAGCTGCTGCATATTGACAGGTTTTTATTAGTTTTAGGTGGTTTAAGGGAAGCTTACTACTGTGGGGTCATACTCTGTGTGTGTGTGTGTGTGTGTGTGTGTGTGTGTGCGCGCGCGCGCGTGCATGAAGGTAACACGGGTGGAAGAACCCTCTAAATACGGTGTGGTGGTGTATGAGGCGGACAGTGGGAGGATCCATCGCTTTGTGGAGAAACCACAGGTCTTTGTCTCCAACAAAATTAATGCCGGCATGTACATCTTCAATCCCAGCATGCTCAGCAGGATCCAGGTGAGGAGGCTCTTGCACTCACTCATAGTGTCGATGTTGGTGTGTTATTTAGTAACAGACTCAGTGTTTCCCACAGATGGACTTTACCTTGGTGGGCCATCCTGTTAGTATCTGGTATTATTGAAGACTGAAAGCTGAAAGGGAGCTCCCTTTCAGCTTTCAGTCTTCAATCCAAACTTTCAGCCTTAGTTTGGATCAGAGCGAAGAATGCATCTGGGTCACTGTTCAGCCTATCATTGTGGCAGTCACTGGTATCATTCAGCTTCTTGATCAGAGCTCATCCTAGATTCAGATGTACTCAGACTTCACTATCTTGGACTGTAGCTAGTGATTGCAGTCCTCCTGCTCTGAATATCTCCTGCGAGACCCTGGGTCACTCTAACCCGAGCCTACAACAGGTTTGTGTGTCTGAGGTTGAAGAGCAGACTACAAGAACTACAGCCACCAGCTCCTCTTCAACATGGTGGAGTTTAAATCTACCAGCAGGATGAGACTCACTGGAGAGGCACCTGATTATGTGGGAATCTGTGGGAAACACTGAGTCTGAAGACACTATAGTTTTGTGTATTTTTTGGATCATGTTCATGACTTTTTTTATGCATTCTTTTTGCAGCTGAGACCAACATCCATTGAAAAAGAAATATTTCCTGTCATGGCAGGGGAGGGACAGCTGTATGCCATGGAGCTGCAAGGTAACTAATACTAATATTAAGACTGCAGTACTACAGCACAGGACTCTTCTCCTCCAGTGGCGTAGTGGTCAAAAAGTCACTGGTTTGATTCCAGCTGGAGACACAAATCCTCTTTGGGGTTGCGTCAGAAAGGGCATCCTGCGTTTAAAGAAAATCTGCCAAATCAGACATGTAGAGCTGCCCACTGTGGCGACCACTGGTGGCAGGGAAGTAGCCGAAAGTAGCTTCCGCTACAGCACAGGGCTGTAAAGCTGCATGTGAGATCTGAACATTCAGCTTTTGCCCAAAATAGGGGCCCGTGGAGAAGATCGTATTAATCAAAATGATGATAAAAGTATACAGTGGTGACCTCACCTTTTTCTTAACACAGCAGTAGGATCAGTAGGATGGAAATGTATGGTTTGAAGCTGACCTGTGTGCTTGATCTGGTCTCTGCAGCTCACAGCTCCACCAGACGTAAGTGTTTGGGCTTTTCGTGCAGGTCTGGAGAGGAAACGTTTGCAGAAAAGCACCACTAACCTTTATGCTCAGACCTAAAGGTTCTCTAGAGTTCTGATACAGATGTTTAAAAAGGAAAAACCCCAACAAAAAACATAAGAGCTCACCAGCAGGAGGAATCACTAGTTGGTGCTTCTCTACATCCTCATTCCTCTCTGACATCCTTTGGCTTTGCTGAAACAGTGGAACCACGTAGTGAAACCTCCACCCCATCCTGACCTGTGGTCCAGGCAGGCTTACTGGTCCCAGTCAGTAGTGGATTTCCCTTTAGAAGATGATGTGATTCATCATGTTTAAGTAGTAACAGAAGGTCCTCGAGATTAGCGGCGAAGCATTTACAAAACTTAAGAATCACAGGATAAATAAAAAAAGATGGGCTTGATTTGTTCTTTAAATTTTCTTAGAGGAGTAGGAATTTGTACAAGTGACCTAAATTCTGTTTTGTCTTTGTAATAAATATGGACAAACCTATGTCGGCCTAAAAGGCTAAATAAATTCACTACATTTTAATAACTGATCTTTGGCTAGTTTATGCTTGAATAAATAAATAAATTCAGGTTAAATCTGTATGTTAATCAGAAACCAGAAACCCTGATGTTTTTTTATGATGCTGGTGCTCGTAAAAACCCTGATTAATGTTGTTCGTACCAGTCGTGCTTTCCTGTGTTTTTATTCAGGTGTTTGGATTAATCTTTTTTCAGGATTGGTATTTATTGAATTATGAATTGATGGTGATTTTTTTTTTTTTTTTTTAACAGAGATCTGTAGAAAATCCATCAGTCTTTCCAGTGAAAATGTGGCTTTTTTAACCCACTGAACTGCATTTTCAGTTTTTAGTTTAAATCTGTATCTCTGCTTGTCCTGGTTTCCACTTTTGCCCCCACAGCCTAACCAACGGTAAGGGGGTGACATCATATTGCAGTGGTTAGCACTGTTAGGCGCTGGGTTCGAACCTTCTGGTTGATTTCTGTGTGTTTGTTTGCTCCTGAAATTCATAGACTGCGGTCATACTTGTTAGGTTATAACTGGTGATTTTGGTGGCCGTAGGATTAGATGTGAGGGTGCCTGTTTGCCCCGGTGTACTCCGCCTCTTCTCTCTTGATCCTGCCCCCTCACAACACTTAGCTGGATATTTGGTTGAGGCAGATGAATGATTTGTGCAGCTATTAGAACAAATGCTGAAAACTCTGCTGGCAGTTATGTAAAATTTATGGCAGAGTTTGCAGTCAGCAGATTAATGTCTGCCTCTTACTGTGACCTCATTATTCAGTGAGTCACCTGTTAAAGATCACTAGGAGCTGCCTGGTTGCTTTCAGGCTTTCACCTTCCACCCTCTGTCCGTCTGTCTGCAGGTTTCTGGATGGACATCGGCCAGCCTAAAGACTTCCTGACAGGGATGTGTATGTACCTCCAGTCAGTACGACAACACGCACCTGAGAGATTACGCACAGGCCCCGGTTTCCTCGGCAACGTCTTGGTTGTGAGTGCACTTTGTTGATGTGACATCAAAATAAGGGCTTGTACTTCATGATAATGATGATCCCCATTTCTTCTTCTCTGAAGGATCCCACGGCACAGATCGGGGAGAACTGCACCATCGGGCCGAATGTCACCATCGGCGCCGGCGTTGTCGTGGAGGACGGTGTGAGGATAAAGAGGTGCACGGTGCTGAAAGGGTCAAGGGTTCGATCGCACTCATGGCTGGAGAGCTGCATCGTGGGGTGGAGCTCGTCAGTCGGCCAGTGGGTGAGTGGGAAAAATGTGTGGACGTTCTTGGTTCATTCATTTATTGTGAGACGCAGCTAATTGTGTCTCTGTCTGTTTAACAGCAGATCTCACTTGTGGTGATATTTGTACTCTATAACTTAGCCTAGTTATTTTATTTTTTTATTTTTAGACCTTGTATCTGCTTACACACTCATGGATATAATTTATTGGAATTGCTCAAACTTGTCTGTTTTTTTGTTTGCTTTGTTTGTTTTGTTTTTTTGTCTTAAAGTAATAACCAAATGGGACTTTTGGCCAACTTCACAGTTCACTATTATATCTGTCCTTTTCACATAACTTAGAATAGCTAACGCCAGAGAAGCAGTAGGAGAACAGAAGGAGTACCGAAGGCTGTGGCAGCCGTACTCTTTCTGCTGTCTACTTAAATCCTCTGTTTCATCTCGTACAGCACATGCACAAAGACTTGTCACGTGCGATGGTAGATGACTTGTGTCTTAATGTGCATCCTCAGGTGCGTATGGAGAATGTGACGGTGCTGGGGGAGGACGTGATCGTCAATGATGAGCTATACCTGAACGGTGCCAACGTCCTGCCTCACAAATCCATCAACGAGTCAGTCCCGGAGCCGCGAATCATCATGTAGCGTCAGGTGGAGGAAGAATCCCAGCGCCTTTTATATGAAGACTATGAGGAAGACCCAAACTGTGCCAGAGAAGAGGGAGGGACATTCAGGCAGTTGAATGGAAGCAGGAGGAGGAAGAACAAAAGGCTTCTTTGTCTTTCTTTTTATAAATTAATTTGGACTTGTTTTAGCCCTGCTTGGCTGCATTTGTCAGAAAAGGTGACGTGTGTCAAGGAAGGTTTCTTAAAGTACTGACAGGTCAAACTCTCATGTTGGCAAATATGAGAAAAGTCGAGAGAGGGGGCTTCTTGGTGGAGTAAAGATCAGTATACTGAGAGGGAAGGGGGAAGTGGGTGTGTGAATATATGAACACTGCTGGTTAGATTTACTATGCATTTACACTTCCTGAAAGGAACAATCAAACCACAGCTACAGGTTGATGTCATGACTGATGCTCAGATTCTGATCTGACTTATTGTGAAACATAATGCAGTATTGGTCACAATTAAAGGTCCAGTGTGTAGAATTTCTGATGCTCCATTAACATAAATGTAATCCAGGATTTATAACTAGTGTTTCTACTGAAGACCAAAAAGGACAAACAGCACTGGCTATAAGTAAATGGAACTGAAGATGCTCCTACATTGTTGTAAACAATAGACTGTATATCAAAGATGGACAATGCCACCACTGTTTGCTTGTGGAGGCTGCCACGTTTTTGTTTTTGTTTTGTTTTTTTGGAAGTAGAATATTTACTTACACAAAAGTGTGAAGTTGTGAGCTGGGTCCAGCAGAGGTGAAGACTAGGAAAGAGATGAGACCAGTGTCAGCACACTGTTTAATCCACGCCACACCCCAATTTTAAGCCTTGGCAAAATCTTAATGTTTGTATTATATTTAAATATCTAAAAATCACTGTCCGTACAGTGGTTACCAACCTGCAAATGTGTTTATTTCTGCTCTTGTTGGAAACAAAGGGCGATTCAGTATCTTGCAATCTACAACTTCACCACTAGATGTCACTAATTCCTACACATTGGTCCTTTAAAGCCATAGCAGTTTATTATTGAGGGCAGCAGAGCAAGCTGTAAGCAACTTCATGGAAATGTGAATGTTTTGAGTTGGAAGTCATGTTTGCATCCACTTGAATGACATCAAATAACACTCAATAATTTGATTTGTTTTTATACGGAAATACCAATGACTGCAGCCTTAATCATGGGAAATGTTGGTTATGTCTTGTGTTCTTGATGAGCTTTCCAGGTTTCTCTGTTCTTTGAAATGGCTTGTTTCAATGTCAGACGAGTTAATGATCATCAATATGTGCTCCAATACTGTAGTGGGTGAGCTGACAACTTTATAATGTGGACAACTTTAGTCTTTAAGATTAATTTTACATTATAAATAAATATACAGCGCTGTCTAAAAGTTCCTACTCCACATGAAGTAAGCAGAAACGTGTTTTGGTTTTGTCACAAATTAGGCAATGGCCATCAGATGCAATAATCCTCTTGAAGGTGAGAAAAGCAGATAAGGAAAAGTTTTCAGTATACTAAAAAAAACTTCAAAGGAACAGGAGTATAAGTCACTGCTTCCTGTCAGGGTTTTCAGAGTAAAAATACTTAGATTGTAAATTAGCTTTCAGCCTAGAGGAGAAGACGCAGCCTAATTTAGGACCAGTTTCTTGCATTGTCACCAAAAATAATAGTCCTGAGGCCAAAAAGATGGAAAGCGCATGGCACCATGAAATTACTGGACCTTAAGTTGGAACCACTGACATCACTGAAGTCCACCAATGACTGACAGATTTCTTTCCAACTAAAAGCAGGGGCGTGACTCCAAAAGATCATCATATAATCTCATGACCAGACTGCCCAAAACTAAACAAAATGTATCCGACCATCAGAAGTAAACTTTATAAACTTCATGAATTTGACATTGCATCAGTAAATCATAACATTTTCAGTATCACTAATGTTGACACTCATTCTGTGTTCAGTATTTAATTTGTACAATAATCTGTGTATATAATTAAAGAGAAAACTTTCAAACAAATCGAACGCTAACATTTTAGCCACGTGTCATTTACTGCTACTAGCATAAAAATCAGATGATTTTGAGCTTTTACAAACAAATGTAAAGTAAAAGTAAACCGAGCCCAGTGTAAATCCCCTCTGTCATTAGAACTACTGAAACTTTTCTTTGACTTATTTCAGGGTCATAATTAAACACTCACATTCAAATTTCTGAGCCAGAAAGAATATTTTCTTCAAGCCCTGTGTACAGGAGCTACATACAAAAAGATATTTTGTGAAAAGGGTTGGCGTAATAAGCAAATGCTTCAGCCAATACCTTTTGATTAGCCTTGTCTCATGCTTTCTTTCTTTATGGTAGATTTTTGTTCTGTTTTCCCTGTTGTTTTGTTTGTTTTTTCACTGTTTTCACTGAGATTTGAATTTGAATGCTAATCAATAAAATCAAATCAATCAAATCAAATCCTTGGAAATGAGAAACCTTCAGTAAAGAACTGTTAATCAGCCCTGTTGTTGGTGTTTTCACATAGCAGTTTCTCCTTAACTGCTGATAAGACAGACATCGCTCCCCTGAGACAGTTTGTAAAAACAAAGTGTTTTAATTTGAAATAATTACACGCCTGAAAATCTTTTAAGGGTATCTGTTCTGCTTTTTTGTTTTTTTTTGTTTTTTTTTATGTTACTGGGTCAGATTTTCATATTATATGTGAACAAAATAGACGTTGAAGGTTCATAGACGTTGTTTTTGGATTTCTTTACATACTAAATGGGGACAGTTCACAAGCACTGGGGAAACCCCTCTGTAGGCTTCCAAGTGCCAGCCAGTCAGCAGATGAGAGGTTTAAAGTTTGAACTGAGGGGCTGCATAAGGGACTGGAATAAGAAAAATAAGGATTGTTTTTAAACTTGGAATCATTCTGTGATACTGGAGTGGAGTCAAAAAGCATAGAGCAGGAAATTAACAATATAAATGCAACAGGTCGCCTTTAAATAAATGCTCTCCTGTGGGAGGTTACTGAAACTGGTCAACAGGTTAGTCCTGTGTTAGTCCACACTCAGCGCTGGTGTATCGATGTAAAGCAGTGATTCTGCTGTTTGTGGTGAGCACTATTAAGAGCTTAATGTGCAAAAGAGTTTGAGTGAAGGAAGTTGGTCTTTGTAAAAAAAATGTTTTTAATTTCTGAAAGGAAAAATATAATCTACTGACCACTGCAACACGTCTGATCTCGTATTATTGGATGTTTAACAGGTGAAGGTCACAGTAAATCTCATGTCAGTGATAAAAATTGTCACCACAGTTAGATTCGCCTTCCTGGTCTCTCTGCTTTACCCATGAAATGTAAAGGGCATGAACATGTTTTTCTTAAAACGTCACAAGCCTTTGTGAATGTTCTAATTTTAATTTAGAGATATGAAAACTTTATAGAGTCAAAGGTTGTTTATCATTTTTACCTGATGTACATAACATCTGAAAGAATGTTTTACATTTAAATCCAAATCTGTTGGTTTTACAGACACTTTGGAGCTTCATTAGATTACTTCACTAGACTACCATAGAAATTGAAATGTATACACAATTACATTTTGTTTTTGCATCTAAAGTATATTTGTATCTAAATAATACCAATTTAAACATTAAATTGCACTAAAAAAGTCATAGCTGTTTATTATTACATTTAGTAAAAAAAAAACAACTCTTGCACACTTGACGTTTGGATGGATCAGGGTGTGTACCACACTCAAAAAGTCCCTGTTATTGGTCCAAAAATGAAAAAATATTGATGACACACAGAAATGTAAAACTATATACTGTAAGATTGACTATTACCAGTTAAGCCAAGTTAGTTTATATGTAGAGCCCATTATCCCGCCTAAAAGGCTTTATAGACACATGACACAGACAAACATATTAAAACAAGAAAGAAAATATACAAGTAATAAAATCTAAAAGGCTTTCAGTGTCTTTTAACATTAAAAGAAAAACCCTAATAAGCTGTTGAAATGTTTAAATTCTTAAATAAAACTCATCAAAACTCAGAGATTTCTGAGTGGAAATAAGAGCTAGCTAAACCAAAAACCTGTAGATAAAGAGGGCGTGTGCTGTTCCACTCTCACAGTCACAGGTAAAATCTTCATTGGTACTTTATTGTGCGTGCCAATGTAAGGAAACAGCTTCTCTGTGAAACTGAGTCTGAAGGTGTGTATGTGTGTGCTGGTGTCAAGATCGAAGAATGAGAGCTTCCCTCTGTCACAGTCCAGCTGAACTTTGACCCTCTGGAGCTTCTTCACTGAGAGAAGTTTATCAGGAAGTGGTGGAGCAGCTGCTGTGTATTGTCCATCCTGGAGACATATTTCCCAGAATCCAGTCTGTAATTGTTCTTTTCTCTTAACAGACTCTATTAGCACACCGAGGCACCTGATCCCATCCTTTCTGACCTCAACATGCCAGCTGTGAGTCCCTGAGTCGAAGCCCTCGGAGCCCAGAACAATTGGATGGTGGTCGAACCTCTCTGGATTGTTGGGAAGCTGCTGTCTCTCACCGAGACTCACACTGGTCAGATCTTCTGAGAGGATGAGTTGTTGATGAGCTGTGTTTGGATCCAGAATCACTGGAGTGCAGGAGACCATCTCCTTCATGTTCTTCCAGATGTTGAAGGTCAGGTTGCCCAGGTGTTTGGCCACATCTATCAGAGCTCCTGAGACCACATGTGGTTCCTCCAGCAGGGTGCGCTGCTGGACTCTGTTCACTGCAGGCTTGATGTTTTGCAGAAATGAGACATCTTCAGCTCTCAGGTTCTCCTCTGTGGCTCTGATAGCGTCTAAAAGAGCTGCTATTTTTCTGCTCAGAGCCTCCATCTTCTCCTTGATCATCTGACTCTTCTGCTCCTCTTCTGCCCTCAGAGCAGTGATTCTTGCTTTTTCTTCTTCTTGTAGAAACTGGTGCATTTTTGCAAACTTCTCCTTGATCTTCCTCTCTGTGTGAAGGGCCTGGACTTTAATGTGTTCTCTGGTTTGATCAAAGTCTCCTTTAACTATTTTAAAGTGCTTCAGTTTCTCTTTTAAGGGCTGTAGTAACACCTGAAGCACTTTTCTGTGATCCTCCGCAGCTTCTTCGATGGTTCTGAATGTGTGTTTGTTGTGTATTTTTGAATCCCTACAAACAAGACACACTAGCAGCTGATGGTCCAGACAGAAGAGTTTGAGTTTCTCACAGTGCAGACTGCAGCGAGCCTCTGACTCTAAAGAAGCTTTTTGATCTCTCTCCAGTAAGAAAGCTTCACACAGGTTCTTTAACACCAAGTTACAGGGTGGGTCATCTGACAAATGCAAATTCTTACAAAGTGGGCATTTACGTACTGGTTTCTCCTTCCACCACATTTGCAGGCAGTCTTTACAAAAGCTGTGGCTGCATGACAGCATGATGGGGTCTCTGAAGATGTCATAGCAGATCGAACAAGAGAGATTCATTTCTGACTGAGAGGACATTTTGCCTCTGAGTGAAAAAAAATGCAGCTGGGGTAATTAGAGACTGAAGATGTATCTTGAAACTTACTTTTCTTCCAGCTGTGGCTTCTTTAAAAGTCCTGCTCGTTATATGAAATCAGCAGCAGGTAGAAGTGGCAGTATCCCCGATAGTTAGAATTCCTCTTTGCTCCGATAGTGAATCTCAAACACACTGCTCACAAAGTGAAACTGTGATGCCTGGTTTGATTCCAATTAATGTTTCTGTTGCACCTCTATTGTGGCACTTATGCTACCTTTGCCTACAAAGCCTCTTATCTGCATTTACAGTTCTTTTGTCTGTTACAGCCAACCAAAAACGGTGGAGAAGCAGAACGTTAGATCATATCTCAGCAACTGGGAGAAATTTGCCTTCAGGGATTTCTGCCTGGCAGGCTCTCTAACACCTGTCAGAGATGTATTGTAGGACACAGCATATGGAGAGGACCATGTATAGGTGACTGATTACTCATGACAAACAGTGGAAAGTAGGCAAATAAAGTGCAGGCGACATCAATCAGAGAAACAGGAGAGAAGATGGGAAGCACAAAACAAAATAAGATACAAGAAAACTAATTTTTTTTTTTTCATTTTTAATGCTAATCCTTACCTTAGAGATAAAAAGAGACTAGCGTACAGAAAATAACCAGAGTACCAATCAGAACAAAAAGGTAGCAAAACTCAGCGATATCACCAAAACTAAAATTATTGTGACAGTGTTATTGTTACATCTTGAAAAATGCATATTCGTGGATCCTTTTGATATTGTGGAAGATGAGTAATACTGTAAGATATGTTTTCACAGAATCGAAATATTCTGGGACGTCTTGAGTGATCAGTGGTTCTGGAGTCAATGTGAACTTCAAAAAAATGTTTACTGATTATACGACACATGACTGTGAAACCAGAGCGTATGGTTGAAGTGTGACTGTGTTTAAGAGGAAATGTGTTTTGCAGTGTGTGCGTGCATTTCTGTTACTGGTAGTGCCCCTCAGGATGGCGAGTCATCGCTACTTTAAACCACAGTACTTCCTTGAGTTTGAGTGGCTTCCTTGAGTCAAAAAGAAACTTTTTGTCTATTATTTGAAGATATTTTCTCTGCAGGAATGGCGGACACTGGTGTGGAACTGGACAGACTTGTTGCTGCAGTGCCCCAGAATCCAGATGAGCAACAAAAAGATGACAAATTGGCACAAACGCTGCTGTTTGTCCTCCTGATTGTAGTGCTGTATGGCATTGCTGCACAGGCTTTTTTTATTAACCTGCTTTACCACCGTGAATTGGTGAGTATCAGCTCAGTGTACTCTAGTCTTTAAATCTAAATATTTATTGCCTGCTTTTTATCCTCTGTTATTGTGACTTGAGAGGTATAAAAATGAATTAATTAACTGTAACAATTAAGCAATTGTTGTGATATATCAGCTGATAAGATAGATACTACTGTAGCACATATCTAATTGCAAAAGCTTCTATTACTTTGGGCACATTTGTTGTGAGCTTGTCTCGTTTTAACAGTCATTTGTTTATATTTTACTCAATTTTCCTGTACTTTTAAAAAAATTTATTTTATTTTTTAAAAAATTCTTCTCTGTACAAGTAAACGTTGTACTCTATCATCAAATATGACGCATTGACAATTTCTTTCAAACTAATTTGTAACTTCCATTGAAGGCTGTCTCAAGACTGAACAACAGATCAGGTACACAAGTCTCTTATTACATTTAACCTTAATTCAACCATGAACTAAAATCTCGAGACTAAGAATATCTTTTGTGAGCATATCTAAAAAACAAAACATACCCCTCCCCGCATTTTAGATTTTAGATTTCATTGCAGAACAAGATGAACCCATCCGTGGTTTTGCACATCTGACAGGTTGGATAACTTTTTTTTTTTTTTTGTAAATAACACAAGTGTATACCATCCATAAATAAAATAACCGTCGTCATGATTTTCTGATTTGCACGATTTTTGCATTTGTTTCTCTAATTAACGGTCAAACTGTATAGAAAAGCTTTCATTTCCCATTGTCAGTGATAAATACTTTGTCTTGCGTGCTGTATTTATATATCAAATGTAAGGCAGCAGAGTTACATGCTGAGTATAAACGGTGAGTTTGTTTTGAAACTGCAATAAACACACCAAGATTTGATTTCAGAGAAAAAAGAAGCTAAGAAGAATATTTTTTAATTTTATTCATTTGTTGGCACATTATGTGAAGAAGCCACATTAATTTAAATATTTACCAAATAAATAATAATAACAATAATAATAATGATTTGGTGAATATTATCACAAAACTAAAGTCCTGCATTATCAACTGTGTGCTGTCAGGGGCATTTAGATCTTTTTTAAATGGGGTGGCACAAGACGGATGAAGAACAAGGCGAGGTGACTACAGGAAATTCAAATTTTTATGACGGCGTACAAAAAAATCTGATTAATAAAACGCTGGGTATAGTTTAGAAGCAAATGTGCGGGTGTCTTCTGTCCCTTCTGTCAGATCAACTCTGCAGTCCCTATTTCCTTTTGAACAATTCATTGAAACTAGCAGTTTCACAAAACAGATCATAACTGGCCCAAAACAGGAGCTGAACTTTACATAAATTGGTTTAATTGTTTGCCGTGTCTGACTGAAAATACACAACTTTAAATTGCTACATCCATCTTGTCTTTTATCCCTGCAGGCGGGTCGGTTCAAGAAAACGAGGTGATGCTTTGGCATATAAATAGTCTGACTGTTCTCAGCGGCATGGCCTACAAAGATGGTAGGCTTGAAGTTCAGGAGGAGGGATTTTACTATGTGTATTCCAAGGTTTGCTTTAGTGACCATGGGCTCTGGAACCAGTCACCTGAGTTTTTTCACCACTTTGTTATGAAATCTGCTCACCTACATGGAAATCATTATACCCTCATGCAGTCACAGAAAGAGTTACGGGTGAACTCAAGCGACCTAAACAACAGCTTTCTGGGTGGATTTTTTCATTTGCATAAAGGTGACGGAATTTTTGTGAGGATAAGGACGAATTTAAACATTTTGCAATATAATGTTTCTGAACATTTCTTTGGTGCATTCATGATGTAGCTTTACACAGCGTGAAATATCAGAACATCACCTGGTCTTTACCAGGCTCTCACATGATTTAAGTCTAAGTATAAAACAACATGACATATTACACCCAATGACTGTAGAAAACAATCATTGATCTCACTGTTTTATTATGCATTTTGCAAAAGTGTAATCAAAATGATTCAGTAGTTTGCAGACCCACCTTCAACAATAATTAGTCAATAAGTCACTACTGAGCCCAACAGATAAAACATCAGAAACTGGACTAAGAAAGCGTTATCAGTGGGTTGTGGCTGTGAAAGCATTGACATGATTGGCTGTCCTCAGGTCTTCAGGAAGGCTGTTCCACAGATGTGCAGCGTAGTAACAGAAAGCTTTCGCACTGTGGGTTTTACTTCTGACTTTAGGGACAACTTCAAAAACCTAAAAACTAGATAAAGAATCTGTTCTGAGGCTGACAATGGAGATACTTAAAAGCTGCTGTTGTTCATACTCTCTTCTGGCCTTGGTCACAACCTGTGTACCTAAGTTCTGGAGTGTAGTAGGGGGCTAGTTTGTTTTTAGGGAGGCCAGAAAGTAGATCATTACAGTATTCATTGTGTTGCTTTTTACTTTTTTAGCTTTATTTTCTCACTATTTCATTCATGTATGATGTACAACACTGTGTGTCCACTGCGGCTGTTTTAAAAAGCTTTAGAAAAACAAAAAAAAAAAACTTTGCAAGATATTGTATTACTTAGTTTTCGTAGTTACTGTTCTTACTGTTTATGTGACCACATAATTTCCTCTGGGATTAATAAAGTAATCTGTTTCTGATTCAGTCTTTCACATCTTTGTGGAGAAATTTTGGCCCACTCTTATTTACAGCGTCACTTCAGTTCATTGAAGTTTGTTCCGTTTGTTTATGCACAGCTCTTTGAGGTCCCACCACAGCATTTCAGTCAGGTTGAGATTTGCACTTTGACTAGGCCATTGCTACCAACTTGTTTCTTTTCTTTGTCAGTTATTTTGTATGGTGTGAGTTTATGCAAGCTTTAGTTGTTGGTCTTGTGATTGGTCCAAATGCAGCTTTGCAAACCCAAACATTGCTGCCATGTTCTTTTTAGAGTGAAGAGGCTTTCTATCATGAAATCTAACATTTAACATGATAACTGAGGCCAGTAGAGACCAAGATGTAAATCTTGGGCTTTTGCAGATTCTATGAGCACTGCACGGTTTGATCTTGATGTCAGTTTGTTGAGACATCCACTCTGGGAACATGACATGGTATGTTTTCCACATGCAAATAATCTTTCTCACTGTAGTATGATGGACTTGGAATTTGGTTCTCTTGGAGTTGCTTCTCTAAGATCGCTGATATGTTTCCTTTGTACTGACACACACCTGAATGCTCCAGACCAGCAAACTGCTGAAACCGTGATCTTTATACTTTGATGATCAATTAATTAAGTGGATCTGATTAGCAGCTCCTGGGTGCTACTTACCCTCTTAAATGCCATGAAAACAGCAAGGGTCTACTTTGTTTTTCACACACATTTTCTGAAGTCAGCGTTTGTTTTTCAAGTTTTTGGTAACAATATAAGGTAGCTATGTAATATTGTGTGATGTGTGTTTGCTTATCTGAAGTTCTACAAGAAATCTAGTAAGATTAAGGTGATTTGTTTTCATTATTTCCTGATCTGTAAAAACGAATAACTTAAAGAGGGTGTATTTTCTTTTTCATGTGCACTGGTATATGGATATTAATGGATATCACTGGATATTAATTTGTCTCTAGGTAATTTACTTATAAACGCTGTGCAGTTTAATGTCAGCGAGAGCAACAGATAAACATATAACTCATGTATCTCTATACACATGGGATTGTTGTACCAATTCAAATTTTGTTCAGCTGTGCATAGATTGTGGTGTTTTT